CTTCTTCAAATCACATAGGATAATTGCCATCTAGGCCCGATATATTGAATTCGAAGTAGTTTTCCGTGTACATCAAAATGAACTCGTCACATCGTGTAAATCACCCTAATTAGCATTGGTTTAGACAGGGCTTCATCAGCAACCAGCAATTCCTCGTCTGCAGACACCAACTCTGGAAAACAGAAAGTGAAGATTCTTCTTTACTCTTCCTGTAGAAAAAAAAAACAGAGAAATCAGTAGCACATACCTCTCAGCAGTCGGTTGAGATTCAAAACGCTCTTTTCCTTAAGCTCAGGTAATAGCTCATTGATCATATATAGCTTCTCGTTCGCTGTCTCAACAGAAGGATTCTTCAACTGACTAAAAATTAAGCGATGAGGTACAATTAGTTTCACCACAGATGGCAAACTGAGCAAGAATGGAACTCACTATTTGTTGACCAGCTTGTCAACCAGGACTTGAAGCGTATCGGCTTCCTGGCATTCTACCCGTATGGATCCACTGCTACAGGTTGGACATTCAGGCTGAAGGAGAAGAGTAATAACATCTCTGACATTTTTGCCGCAAGCAACAAGTGCATACAACCACGAATTTGACCCACATTCCTTTCCATCTTCACGACTCCACAGTATACTCCCTCGATATCCGTGAAGTTGAGATAGTTGTCTATTGGCTTTGCGACACTTAAAAGAGTTTAAACGAGCTTTTATAGCTGAATTTATGGGTGTACGTGGGTGGCAATGCATCTCTAGCCAATCAGGCTTCTTAATACCCCCTTTGTGGTTCGCAGAACTGGATTATTACTGTCACTCAGAAGGATAAAACTCTCGGTGGTGATCACTTGGAGAAAACGCCATGCAATCGTGTTCATCATTGTTTGAAGTCAGTCAATGCATACCTTGCTCTACACACGTACTCTCATCAATGTTTCAATTGCTTTCGCCCCAGACAAGCCTGCTACCAGTTACCAAACCCGGAGGGATGAAAGGCTTAATAAGCCTTCAGCGCGGGATTGAAACGTCGACCATGCAGCGATCGACCACCTGTGTGCCACGGAGCACCTCTACCCACTGCGTCACACGCGTTCTCATTGTCACCTACCGAGGCCAGAAGCTTCTGTTCAGATGAGGTTGAATTTTCTATATAGGCAAGCACATACTTTGTGGCTAGTTTAACTGCTTCCAGAGCACATGCCGCAGCTATTACTGCATTCGTCGAAGCTACCGCTGGGATGATTCGCTTCAACACGCCTTGAGTCAAACGACGGTCTACACCTCTGATATCTAGAAAAAGATAAAAACATTTTCAGGAAACACTCTCACAACAATAAATCTTCATCATGCAGGTATACACATTCAAATAAAAGCATATTACGCATGTTTATGCATAAGCCCTGCATTGTGACTATCAGACAGTAAATGATCAGTAGATTTTCCCAGCCAGTTTATCAGATTTGATGCCCAACATATGGACAGTACGGTGGAATCACTCATCCCCTTAGTTGCACGTCTGTATGGTCTTCAGGACATCACATTGGAAACGAAGTCTCTTTAACCGTTTAACTTCTGCGGACCCAAACTGGGCGCGTCCGCCGGCGTGGGAAAAACTCCACCTCCTCTTCCTCGATTAGTCGAAAACTAAAGTACTACTTCTCGCTGCAGGACCGCACGCGAACTTACCCGAAATAGCTCCGAGTCTTGCAACAAAAAGTAGACTATAGTCGGCGACTAATCGAAGCAGAAAGGTGGAGTCATTCCCACGCTGGCGGACGCGCTCAGTTTGGGTCCACGGAAGCCAACCGATTAAGTGGACAGTGTACTCTTCTCTACTCTTATAGTCCCTAATCCCAAAATATCAGGGATATGATTCTTGCGAACTCGACACTCGAATAAGATTGAACCTTTGAATAAACAGATAACGTCATGAGAAAGGGTCTCAAACGAGCAAATCTCATTCTTCTCAGTGAATTACACGACAACTTTTGGTAACGAGCACGGGGAGTCCTAGCTCTCTCAAAGAAAGTCGACACGCAACATCAAATGGGAGTCTGAAGAAGACGTGTAGGGTGTCCTCTTAGGTGGAAGATTCTCACCATATTTTTTTGCTCGTACAAGAGCTTTTTCCAAGACCCATTCGACGTGTACAGGATCATCGGCGTCTAGAGTGGCCCCTAGAAAAATTGCAATAATCAACAATTCGGATGTGCGCTTGTACTTATCTCAATCCAAGGAATAACAAACTCACCGTCAAATGGTTGCTCTTCAACCCACTGGATTACCTTCACGTATTCTACGCAATGTTCCGGTAACCTTGGTGTGTGCGCTATAGTACAGAGAGGAAAGTTTACCTAGAAAGGGATTTTTCTCAGGTTATAGAAAACTGTACCTGCTTGTATACTCGAATAGCCTGCTTCTAAAAAAAATCTCACTATTCCCTCAGAGAGGAGACGCGGAAAGCTCCCGACGTCCATGCATTCGACTTCATCAAGCCTCGCTAGGAGTGACTAGATGCAATCTGGTCTTTACAATGACTCCCGGTGGCCTACCGATGCGTCAAGTTACTGATACTATCCACCCAAAAGTCCGGCACCAATTTCCCCACTCAGAAGGAACGGAAATGTTGGAGCCTTGGGTGCGGAATCGAACCACTGACCCGGTGTGTGTGTCGCAGGGCACCTCTGACCGCAGCCACACGCGCCCTTATTATCTGTGTCTGTCACAGTTCACCTATAATCTGTAATCGGCTTTTTTGGAATATGAACATAACCAAGTCACCGACCCTCGTAGATCTGAGGGAGGTTTTCATCCAACGATGGAATTGCTGCCAGAATGGCCGTGAATCTTGGCATTGTTTTACGCTTAAACTGGGCTTCAGGATGTTAATGCTGAACCCGTTTTCAGCTTAAAAGACCTCTCTTCGATGTACACGGCAGCAGTTCAACACAGAAGCATACAATGTATTCCTAATCCCACTCTTTCTGAAACAGCGAATCAGTATATGAGAAGACTATTTTTGCTCATGATAGGTATATTTGAAGAAAAATCTTGAATTTTTCTAGTAAAAGCGGGTATTTTAATCAGAAAGATGATGGGCAACAATCGAAGAATTAGAACGTTGAAAAAACCAATCCTTCTGATAACGAAGGAGAAAAGTGGTGTTCGAAATTTCACAACTTCTAGCTACAAATCTTCAAAAGCTTTCAAGTTACTGACCTGTGGCGGAAACAAATCCAGCGTACAGTCAATGCAAGCCGACATTCTCGGATAAATGACCCTTGCATTGCCCTTAAATCCTTCAGTCCCACCATCGATAAGTGGAATGACTGTTGATGTGTCAACTTTGCCATCTTCCATTTCCACCAAATCACACTTAAAGTCGATACGAGCTAGTAAACTTGATTGGCAAAAATTACTGAAGAGGTAATGAAGTCAAAAAAAAACTTCGTTAACCCTTTCGAGACCGTAGACCCGCGGTCTCTGCATCTCTAACTGGTAACTCTTGGCGATCTGCTCCACCTCCTCTGCATCTCCTATACCTGGCGTGCCACTGTTTTACGCAACAGCCTGCCATTGTTAGAAGCAGCACGGGGAGTTATAGAGATACAGGGGAGGTAGGAGGTACAGCAGACCGTCCAGAGTTTCCACTAAGAGATGCAGAGGCCGTAGGCCCACGGTCCTGAAAGGGTTAACAGAATTGTGATATACGCTTTTATTTCAGTGCCCTTTTTTTTTTACTTAACCTTTCGTATTCAGTCGGGAGCTCCTTTGCAAAAAATTTTTGAGCAGATACACACGTAATAACACGGGAACTGTTTTTCAAGCCAATTTGTTCGTAGCGCTGTAGGCAGATACTAGTGGTGATGTTGATATGAAGATATCACTGTGGCCGAGAATACCACAAATGTAGAAAACGTACATGTTTATACGATATCGACAAAAACACACAAGTCCCGTATCCTTTAATAAGAACCCGTTCTCGAAAAGTACGGTTATCCGTCTTTTCAAGAGGATGAGGCCGGCAAGACGATGCGCACTGACTTCAATGGAGTCCGCAAATAATCGACAAGATATATAAGTTATACCATTAGTTAAGGGACACCGATAACCAAAGGTTGTAGCAATTGCGCTAAACAATAAAATACAGGATTTTGTTTTATAGTTCTATAGGTTTTGACTTTTCATATACCCACTTTAGTTGAAAATAATTCATTTCCAAAATGATGTGACATTTTTGTTGTAAAGTGCAATGCTTTCAAAAAACGTGGAAGTTCCTTTTTACCAAAAACACCCTCATAAAAATCTACACAATGGTATGAGATCGCTCTGCCACGATATGAAGCTCCTGTCATCTAGATCTTATTATATGAGTATCAACAAACTCGTTACTTCAAAAAAGAGCACACTGTTCTCTTCGTTGATGAAACGCAGTAAGAAAGTTTTCCCAAAACCAATCCAAATATTCAACAGCCTTGTTTATCCGGCTATCAGACCAACATTGAAAGTCTACTGAAGAATTTGTCTGACGAAAAATCTACTAAAAAGCAGTGTACTCAAAATCATGGGTTGTGTCAAAAGTTGGTGCTGTTTTGGTTTTCTGATGTGATTACTGCAATGATATTAAACGATTTTGTATTGTTCAATTGCGTTTCTTTTGCAAACATTTTGGTATAGTATATGCCTATCCTTGATTTAGGGTGGAGCTGTTTTGGAAACAAATTAACTTGCTCCTCATGCACGAGTGGCGCATAGGGGAAAATGCTGGTGAAGCATCGCTATGATCAATTGAGTTTGAGGCGATAAGAAGCAAACGAATTCGTTCCCTAGACAGGTCCATGCTAGAGCAAAATAGGCAAGCTGTATACCAAAATATTCTCAAGAAAATGCGCAATTAACTTCCAAACGGTGACAGAATCAAATAGAATTCTTTTCTGTTTAACCGCTTCCAGCGGTGGTATGATATTACAAATATACCCACCGATGTAGACTGATGTGCAAAACAACTGCGTCAAGCGGAACTTGAACCCGCATTTCACCCAATCCAGGGGCGCGTGCTCTATCCTTTGCACCAGCGACGCCTGTTGTGACGCTACAGCGCATCTATCTAGCAGCTACCGACAGTCAACAGTTTCGCCCACGTAGTCGCTGTCGAAATTAAACCCAGTTGGTCGCTGGCAGATAGATGCGTTGTAGCGGAGACAGAGTGGCGTCAAACCGACATCGATATTGCAAGGGATACAGCACGCGCCCTCGAATTGTGAAGTGTGGATTCAAGTTCCGAATGACGCAAATGTTTTGCACATCACTCTACATCAATGGATAACAAAATCATGCAATTTCATTGCAAACCATGTCAAAAAAACCAAAACGGCAAAAACTTTCTACACAACCTGTTAGTACAGGCCATTCCCGAAAGCTTGATGGTACTCGTCGACTTCTACTACTACTTCGGTCATCACTCTTCAAAAAGCAAATTTGGAGAGGGAAAGTAGCGTAGATTGATGAATTAGCCTACTATTCTTCTCAGATTGCTAACAAATTTACTCCTAACTCATCGGCAGAATCGAAGCGGTTTGCAGCACTTCCAGAGAAATTAATATTACAAGTGGTTGCTTAGGGGTCCAGAGAGTATAGTGCATTTACCTACGTGTCATAATTGGTCTGATACTGTCCATAGAAGTACGAAATATATATGCGTCTATATATACAATAATGCTGAGTGATGTGCGAAACATCCGATCCCGGCGGGAGTTGAACTCGCATTTCACCCATACCGGAGGCGAGGAAAGAGTGGCAGCAGAGCGGTGACCTCGGAACGCCCTCGGCAGGATGGAACTCGAGTTCGACTCTCGGCTGAATCGAATGTTTTGCATATCACTCAACATCATTGGATATATATGGTTGTAACATCATAAGGCTGCTGGAAGAACGGTAAAACAGAAATTCTGGTAAACCACACATTAACTGAGAAACTCACAAGCATGGCATTAATCCATCTTCTTGCCGATACTGAGTCAAGACCGCAAATGACTAAGGAGAACTGTCGGTAGAACGATGGTGGCTTGTCCTCGATTCGGCAGTTATGACTGAAAGATTAGTGCAGTGATGCTTATTGAGCATCACTTTATAGAGTATCAAAACCACTGAATGCCTCTATAAAATGAAAGCAAATAGTGACTGATAAATGGACATACGCAGTAACTGTGCAGCCGGATACTCTATTCCGAACAAAAGCAGCTGCTACTTCAGCCTTTGACTTCCCAACATCTCCCACTCTGAAAGACTAGTCGCTGTTTACATTCGCGTTTGTTAGAACGACATTATATCTACAAAGTTTCTTTCTTTTACTAATCTTATGACGTCATAATTGTAGGTCAAAGGATGCTGAGTGATAAGCAGAATTTTCAACTTCAGTCGGAAATTGAACCTGCCGTGGTATAGGTGAAACACGAGTTCAACTCCTAGCTGGGGCCAAAAGTTTGCATATCACTTAACATCTTTAGTGTATGTACAGTTACCTTAACCGGTTGACTTTCGCGGACTCTAACTGGGTGTCTCCGCCATGCGCATAAACGACTCCATTTATTCTGTCCCGATTCGTCGCCAACTACAGTACTGCTTTCCTTTGCAAGTCCCGCAGCTAAATTTTGGACTGGCTTTTGGAATGAAAAGTAGTACTGTAGTCGGCGACTAATCGCGGCATAAGGGGTGGAGTCGTTCCCACGCTGGCGCATACGCCCAATTAGGGTCCGCGGAAATCAACCGGTTAACAAAGTGACTAGAAAATACTCATAAACGACATTATTGGCATGAAATAATTGATATTCCAGTATTCAAAGAACACATCTGAGTTTGTAGTGAACGTATTCAATGATATTCTATCATTTCATAATAAGGGGGGGGGGTAGGTGGGAGGGGAGGGGTAACGCCGCGCGGCTTGCTACGAAACGTATCACGTGGTTCCCAAAGGGTTAACTAAAATAGATAGAAATCCTCCGATGCTACCAACAAAATGTAAGCTTACTTATTCCATTACAACGAAATCGCAGGCATTTGTAACTTATCATAGTCTCTGCTTTCGTCTTCCTTGATTCAGCTTTGAAGCTCAAATGGCGAAAGGGATAGACAAGCAGTGACCTGCTCGACTGGACACAACGGTCCACAAATATTATTAGTATTTGTTGAGCGTTGAGATTTCGTAACACTTTTGAGGAAGGCTTAATAATAGGGATTTATTTAACCTCTTTTAGTGGTGGTATGACCTTATAGATACACCCAATGGTTTTGAGTGATGTGCACAACTTTTGTGTCAATCGGGACTCGAACTCGGATTCAACCCTATCCGAGGGTTTTTGCACATCGCTCAACATCGCTGGGCTTAATCATAGTTCAATAACTTAAACTATACTATGAATGTTATCATCAACACGTTTCCATAAAAGTAGCCTACGTATCGGAAACCTCTCGCGACTGCCAACAAATCTGAATTTCCATAGATTTCTGAAGATATACCTGAAAAGAAACTGTCTGTTGAGATTAGTGATATCGATGGTGTCCATATCGATCACGTCCAAGTTTTGAAAACCGGAAAGGGCCTAAAATACGTAAAAATTGTATAATAGAGGGCATACCAACTATACAATAGAACTGAAAAGTGTATTAACGAAAGCTTACTAGGTTTTTCAATAATTCACATCCCAAACCACCTGCACCAACAACAAGAACGCGCATCTGATGCAATGCTTCCATGTTCTGTAAAGGTCTAAAATGTCTACCTTAGCCGTCGTGCAGACGATATGCTAGAGCAATATAGACAGAATAAACTAATAACAGGTTAAAAGAGTTACTAATGAATGAAGGATAAAGGATGAAGCTCTCGGCATTGATCAATCCCTGAGGGATGCGCCACGCATTCGTCTTCACAATTCTAACTTCGTTTGAGATTACTGAATGCATATTTGGCCTTTAGAATGACTCGCGGTGGCCTCCCGTCCTCCTTGACAAATCTGAGACCAGTCCGGTTCCAATGTACCGAGCTCGGAGGAATGAATGGCTTGGCGAGCCATGAGCACGGGATCGAACCATCGACCTTGTGTGCAACGCAGAACCCCCTTAACCACTGTGCCACATGCGCTCTTAATGATATAATTTTTTTGATATATGATCTGTCATCATAGTGTTTTTTTCGCTGTTTGCATCTCAATACTAGCATTTAATTCGTTTTTCTTCTTCTTCTTGAACGGCTTAGGACACTGGTAGGGCGAGTCTCGTTGAAATCCCGAGGATAGCCCTGCTGGTGGCGTTCCACAGGGTGTTGTTGTTGACTGCCGGAGAGAAGTGTGGCACTGGGTGGAGCTCGGTTCCACGCCTGCCGAGACGAGCATCACAACCACTCGGCCACGGCGCCCAAAGTGAATAAAAGTTTACATAGGTAAAAATAAAGGATAAAGCTCTCGGCGTTGATCAATCCCTAAGGGACGCGCCATGCATTCGACTTCAATTCTTAACTTCGCTTGAGGTGATTGAATGCACATCTGGCCGTTACAATGACTCGCGGTGGCCTCCCGCTGAACCGAGTCAGTGCTGCTTATCCTCCCAGACAAGTCTGAGACCTGTCTGGTACCAATTTACCGTCCCCGGAGGGATGGATGGCTTGGTGAGCCATGAGCGCGAGATCGAACCAGAGACCTCGTGTGCGACGCAGAGCACCTCTAACCACTGCGCCACATGCGCTTACATAGGCAAGATAAATCTATAAAATAAAAAAAGAAACAAGGAACGAATGAATTCGAAATTCGTTCAGATAAATAATTAATATGTATCATATGAGAACGATAATCATCCAACCTCAGGACCGGCTTCAAACCATGACATGGCGAACGCTGAAGGTCGGTCGGTGAGACGACGTATATCTCGCCACCTCTCGGTGGCCAAAGGGTCAAAACAGACCGAATCTGCCATTCGAAATTGACAACCTTTTCTGAAAACTGTTGGAGGTACACCGAGATGGGAAGTAACCAAGTAATATCAGATACAACAACTAGCGTGTATGTGATCAGAAGCAAAAGAAAAACCGTATAAACGAAATCGCCAACACCTCTCTCTCAAACAATTTTCAACCCGCGACTCTGCAGTCAGAACGGGCAGTCTCTCTCACAAACAGCACTAGGTTCGACCCTTACGGGGCCATGGACCAACCCCCTGCGTAACTAACCCCCAGTGTGCAGCTTCTAATGATAGCGCCCAACCCCTAGCGGGCTGCGTTTGATAATGGTGTCTAACCCTCAGCGTGCCGTTGGCCAGACGCAACACGCTAAAGTTAGAGAAGCAGAGGGTTGAGTCTACGTTCCCATATGGCTTAGAAATTACAATGCCGGTATGTGCATACCAGAGCAAACCCGTCAACAGTTGCCCGCTTAACTTCCGCGGACCCTAACTGGGCGTGCCAGCGTGGGGGCGACTCCATCTCCTGCCCCGACTAGCACCGGCTACACCACTACTTTTCAATGCAAGACGCGATCCAAAATTTAGCTACGACCCTTGAAACGAAAAGTGTTACCCTAGTCGGCGACTATACTGGGCAGAGGAGGTGGAGTTGCTCCACTCTGGTGGACACGCCCATTGGGGTCCACGGAAGTCAACCGGTTAATTGCTGACAACTACGATGCCTTACAGCGAAAAAAGAGTGGCAGTAGGGCGGTGGTCTCAGTAGTTCAGGGGTAGAGCGCGCTCCTGCGATGGTTGAGACGCGGGCTCATTTTCTATCTAGAGTTGAACGTGGTGTATACTCAGCACTCAGTATCCTAGGATAACTAAGTTCTAAATCACGATGAGAAGCTGACGCTATGCGTGGTGAACGAAACCAACCAACCATACCAGTGTACAAGTTAACCCTTGCGGTGACCCAACCCTCGCGTCCCTAAAATTATTTTGTAGTGCATCCAATATTAGCGTCTAATGTTGGTAACCCCGTAAGCCATTATTTAGACGCCACACGGACCAATCTTAGACACCATTGTTGGACGCAACATGAACCAATGTTAGGGCGCAGAGCGTTAGGCCAGTGAAACCGTGGGGG